CACACACACACACACACACACACACACACAGACTTGAAAGATTAATTTTATTATTTTAAATGTCCAAGACTCAGTTCTGATTAATAAATATACAGGTTGTATTAATATCCAGCTGGTCAGAACCCATTGATTTGTATGAAAAAACACCTGTGAAGAGCAAAATACTTGATTTAAGCACTGTTTTAATCATTTAAATTAGTTATCTATTTTGAATTTCCACAACTATAAAATTCACAATTTCCTCAGCTTTATTTTGAACCATAGTTTGTAAAAATCGAGCAAGAAATAATGAAGTTATAAGAGTTTTTCATCAGAGTGACACCTCACAGTCCATTGACCTCCATTCATTGTGTTGAAGCTCCTCAGTGCAGAACAGAGCTCCAGTGTGAGCACATCTATGTAGCAACAAGCTAGCCACGCCCAATCCAGTAATATATATCAATGGCGACAACACACTAGCTTAAAGTTAAAAAGGTTAGCTCAAAGATCCAAAATGTTGTCTATAATTTAAGAGAACTTTTGAAAAATAGATTTTTAATCTGAACATTTTATTTTCCTGTTTAAATAAAGGTTAAATGTAAAGAATGTTGTAAGGAGCTAGCTACAAATAGCAAAATGCTAACTAAAGTAGCATAAGAAGACAAAAATAGAGCCACTTTATTTACATAGATTTTCCCATTAGAAAAACATCTAAAATCTATAAAGTAAAAGATTGTGTAGAAGTGTTAAAAGGGATGAGCTGATCTACAGGTGTGACACACCTAGCTTGAACGCTCAGGTGAAGCTAGCTAAAAGAGACTCCTCTGTGGAGTTCTCAGTCTTAATTTTCCATCGGGATCTGTTAGGGTGGGTTTGTGATGATGTTCTCCGTGCTTCCAGCTGCGTAACCCATCAGATAAGTTCATCTACGCCACAGTGAAGCAGAGCTCGGTGGATATCTACTTCAGACGGCAGGTGGAGCTGAGCACCATGTACCGGCACATGGAGAAACACAATTACGAGAGCGCCGCCGAGGCCATCCAGGCTGTCCGAGACAAGTAGGCAGCAGATCCAAGGTGTGTCCTGCCTGTCCCGCTCTGCACGCCTAATGTCTTTGCTCCTCCTCCTCCTGCAGTAAGCTGCACGCCTTCATCTGGGACAGCGCCGTGTTGGAGTTCGAGGCATCGCAGAAATGCGATCTGGTGACGACTGGAGAGCTTTTCTTCCGCTCCGGGTTTGGGATCGGAATGAGGAAAGACAGTCCGTGGAAGCAGAATGTTTCTCTGGCTATTCTCAGGTACCAAACTTTGTAACCATCACTGACCAGTCGTTACCTCTTAGGCTCCGCCCACTGATGCCCCGCCCACTATTCCTGTTCCCACAGTTCTCATGAAAATGGCTTCATGGAAGACCTGGACAAGACGTGGGTTCGTTACCAGGAGTGTGACTCCAGGAGCAACGCGCCCGCCACCCTCACCTTTGAGAACATGGCAGGTAGGAAACAGGCCCCGCCCCTAAGTTATTACTCCATATAAAAGATGGCTCGGTGTTTGACCCTCATCACCTGTTCTTCCCAGGTGTGTTCATGCTGGTGGCCGGCGGCATAGTCGCAGGGATCTTCCTCATCTTCATTGAGATCGCCTACAAACGTCACAAAGACGCCCGCAGGAAACAGATGCAGCTCGCATTCGCTGCCGTCAACGTTTGGAGGAAGAACCTGCAGGTATGTAGCTTTACTTTATTTTACTTCACATAACGCAATCTTATTTTACACTGTTACTTTACTTTTTTATGACATTATACTATTTCCTAACATTACACTGCTTTGTTAGACTGTTGTCCTTTTTGCTTCAAATAATTGTATGTATTGTTACATTACTTTATGGTATGTTAATTTACTTTTTAGTTAATATTATTTTACAGTTTTACTTACATTGAATGCAGTTTCTTTACATTACGTCACATTACTTTCTTGTGTTTTTTATGTGTCTGTGATTGCATTACTTTGCTTTGTTACTCTAAATTACTTTGTTTGATTATGTTTATGTATGGTTTTATTACCTTACCTTTTGTTACTTTATATATAGTATGCTATTATTTGGATTATGTTACATTACCAATATATTACTTTACTTTCTGCTACTTTATCTTAGTTTATTTCACATTTACAGACTTTACATTGTTGTTTTAAGTTACTTTGTTACATCGTTTTATTTACTTTACTTTGTTAGGTTTTACCCTACTTTACATTACTTTATTTTATATTACTTTACATTGTTATGTTTTCTTACTTTACTTTACATTATGTTATGTTTTGTTACTTTACAATACATTATTTTATATTACTTTACATTATGTTTAATTACTTTACATTATCTTAGGTTTTACCCTACTTTACATTACTTTATTTTATATTACTTTACATTGTTGTGTTTTCTTACTTTACTTTACATTATGTAATATTTTGTCACTTTACAATACATTATTTTTTATTACTTTACATTATCTTAGGTTTTACCTACATGACTTTATTTTACATGACTTTACATCTTACTTCACTTTACATGACTTTATTTTAAATTACTTTACATCATGTTATGTTTTGTTACTTTACTTTATTGAAGCTTTTGTGTCGAGCACCTCTGACCTGCTTGTTTTTTTTTTCTGATCTGCTGTTTTTGTGAAATGTTGAAACAGTTTTGTTTTGAAACCTGGACTGAATGTTGTGTTGAGGTTGGTAGTTTGTTTCCAGGGTGTTTTTGTCATTTGAGGCAGGTTGAAGGCAGCAGGTTAACAGACATTATTGATGAAATGGTTTGGATTCAGTTCAGTTTATTTACAGCAGCAGGTCACAACTGTAGAAAAATCAATCTAAGGTGCCAGCAGATTGTGTTGGATTGTGTTGGTTTGTGTTGGATTGTGTTGGTTTGTGTTGGATTGTGTTGGTTTGTGTTGGATTGTGTTGGATTGTGTTGGTCACTGAAGTGTCTGTTGGTGAATCTTTGCTGCAGCAGGAAAGAGAAATCAGTCATCCAGATCATTTCCTGCTTTGTTGATCTGATCCAGCTCGACTGTGTGACGCAGCTTTGATTTGTACGTTTCTTTTTTTGTTCTCACATCAGTTTAGTCGATCTTGTTTAACAGTCAGCAGAATAAACATTGTTTATATCCAAAAACCTTTAGCACTGAACTGTCATTTTAGTGGGAAAAAAAACAATTATCCAAAGGTTTGTATTTGACAACTCCTTTTTTTTTTTCAGTTTAGCTAAATGTTTCAAAATAAAAGTATTTCATTAGGTGTAAAAGTAATATCTGCTCATAATTTATGTAAATCTTTGATTCTTAAACTGTTTATAGTAAAACATACAGTAAATATATACAGTATTTAATATTTCTTTTGTTCTCTTCTGAGTTTTTCATGTTTCAGTTGGTAAAAGTGAAGAAGTTGTCTCTAAGTGAAGAGTTCTGACCTGACCTGGGGTCAGCCTGACCTGCGTTTCCTGTTCAGCTTTAATGAGCTGGTGTTTCTGCAGACTGACCCCAGCTCAGGTCAGAGGAATCACAGAGCTGAGCTTCTCTGTCTTCATTCTCATCACAGTTTGTCTCACGGCTGAAACACGTTTAGTTTTTAACGGTTCTGAACAGTTCTGCTCAGTTTGAGACGAGGCTCTGTGAACCACAACCTGCTGATGATCAGATGCAACGTTTCTTCAGAGCTGTCTGGTTCTGCTGACTTCAGTGCGCTTCTCAAAGAGATTAAAAGATCAGCCTAAAAATATGGTTCCCAGAGATGTGAAAAGGGAGCGGTGGTTCATTAAAGCATGGGAAACAGAGCTGGTTCTGTTCTGCTGCAGTTTGTTGTTTCAGACGTTCTCCTCGTCGGCAGGTGAGCGCAGCCTCCTGACACAAACACATTAATAACCAGCAGCGTTCGCCTGGATTAGCATTTCAAACGCCCGCTGCCACGGGCTAACGGCTAACGCGGGATGATTAGCACTTCACACGGCTGCGTCTGCAGAGGCAGCAAAACAGAAAGCATCGTCGACCCAAATCACACGGTCCAGTCTGGATCCGGTTGTTTCTGACGTTGTACTGTAAGAAATACGTGTTTTAATATGGTATGTCCGAATAAACAGGATTCAGCTGGATTTCTTGTTAAAAACTTTACTTCAGTCCTCTGACTCCAATCAG